GGTGTGGTGTAGTGTAAGGAAGTGTAGCGTAGCGTGGTGTAGTATTGTGTGGTGCAGTGTAGTGTAATGTAGTGTAGTTTAGTGTGGTTTGGTGTGATGTGGTGTAATGTAGTATAGTGGAGTGGAGTGCAATGAATGATAGGGGAGTGGAGTGGTATGAGTGCAGTGAAGTTAATTAAAGTGTAGCGTAGTGTAATGTGGTTCAGTGTTGTGTGGAGTAGGAACATTGCTACAAAACTCACGACCCAGATTCGAATCCCGCCTGAGCGTAGTAATGAAGGGCTGCTAGACAACATGGAAGCTGCAGTCCAGTCGAGTCCAGCTGAGCTAAGATTAGCTTTTGGGTGGCACGGACTAGTCAAATTTAACTACAACCCGTGTCGTCAAATCACTTTATGCGTCCTAAGCTGACGAGATTGCCATTCAAGAGATGCTCATTTGCAGTCTGGCCTTTCGGTTTAAGGTACTGGTCATCCGTTCATAGCCTCGCGTCATCAGCTCAGCCTCGTGGTCATTCGTGATGCATGCCCAAGTCGCCTCCTCCGTTGCACATCTTCACACGCACCTTCAGAGTCTGTCCTTTACACTCCAGCCCAGTGGAACTTGGCATAGATAACTTGGTCTCTTTCCTCTTTTTCCCTTCTTCAGTCCCTGTTGAAGCTGCACGCAATCGCCGAGAGGTACAAGGACCCGGAGATGATGGACTTTTTGGAATGTGAATTCTTGAAAGAGCAGATTCGCTCAATAAAGCAGTTTGCAGACTACCTGACTGAAGCAGAGCGAGTCGGGCCCGGTCTTGGCGAGTATCTCTTAGACAAACTCACCCTGAAGGAATGAGACTTTAATCATCCTCTCACTCCCTCCACCATCCACCATCCACTCTCCAATCTCTGCTCTCCTCACTCCAAGCACAAATAACTTCTGCTGTACCATGGGGAAGATTTGAAAAAAATGTTGGCTTACGAAGAATTGCCTGTTTTTCATCAGCTAATCTCACTTCCCTTTCAA